CAACGTTTAGATGTTTCCACTTTTATTCTAAATATTGAGATGTGGATAAGGACTAAGTTCCTCTATTGTGAGTTGCCCATTGTTGCATATCTTTATGAGTAGGTGTTGTATGTGTTTTAATTTCATGAATAATGTGGCGTGCCTCTTCTATACCATGTGTTAAATTATACTGATGAAATTTTTATTAAGTGCCTAAATGATTTATTTGATTATTTTAGGGGTATAGAAAGGGGGTGTTACAATCATATTGCCCTTGATGTTGGATAACTTCAAACATATGACTCTAGCAGTGTCTTGTTCTTTAGGGTCCTTCTCCAAGAAAGGGAAAGGAGATTCTTCTAGAATAGGTGAACCCATCAAGTGAGAGTACTCTTCTAGGGTAGACAAGAGCTGATAATCTGGGAATGTAAAGCAAAGATAATCCGTATCCTAGAACTGTAACGAAGCAGAGAGAAGTCCTTTGTCTACTTGAAGTTTCAACAAAGATAACAGCCTTCCATACTTGTTTCTAAATACTTCTTAATCTTGAACCAGAGCTCCTAATTTGCTTAGGTCATCCAACTTAAGACCCTTAAAAAAATATTTCAAAGTGTTTTTTCTATTGTAATCCATGGTATCCTTCAATATTCATAAATAAAGTTTGAATTCCATGCAATGTAATGCAATGTGATGCTTTATGGATGCGATGCACATATACAAAGTCCTAGGTTAAAGGAACAGTGAACGGAGTCAAGGTCTACCCATCCCCATAAGATATGTACTAAGGTTAGTTGTACCTGCAGAACAAGGGTTCTAAAGAAGTGCCTAAAGTCATGAGTCCATCCTTTGAATATTATCAATTTCCCGACTGACTTGGTGGTTAATAATATTCTGAAGAGAACCTCTTTTGAGTGTAGTATCGCGTAGCAACTATTTTAGTTCACAACCGACTTTTATTTATGCGAAGGAAAAGGTCAAAAGAAGGAAAACCTAACTTTTGCATCGTAAACAATACGGAGAGAAACCTAGTAAGGGGTTGGTTAAGCTTAGGGAAGGTACTAGCACCCTAAACTTCTGTAGTGCTCTACAGGAACCTTTTGTTTAAAGTTTGCTATTTGACTTTATTATTTGCTTAAAGGTATATGCTAAGGGTTAAAAGTAACAGAAAGACCTAAGGGTTAGTCCTAAGTTTACTCGCCAAGATTCGCATCTTGTGCCTACGTATCCGAGGTAGGGGATGGAATCAGAGTAATCGTAGTTTCCCTCGAAAGGGAGGTTAGAAACGTCTTGACTGTGGTCAAGGTTTCAAAGGGGAATAAGAATACTTAAGGAAGTGCTTACGTGGAGCGCAGCGACTCCTATTTCTACGTTGAAATAGTTAAATTGAAAATAGGATTAAAATAGGTATTCCACGGCAGGAGATCCTAAAACGGAGTACGGCGACTCCTTATCCTAATGCTAGGGTAAAAGGTATTTTCGTCCACGGCGGGACACCTAAACAAATCAGGGTTTTGAAATATTCAAAGGTGAGGACTATTGAATCAACGGTCAAACGGCTAGACCTAATCCTTCGGAAGGAGAATTAACGGTGAATAATGCGAATGAAGTAAGTAACGGCAGAATTGAAATACAAGAAAGTGTAAAAGCGATAAAAAGTACGCCGCAACGATCACTCGCGTAAATTACAAACCCAAAATGAAACGGCATTGAAAGCAATAGCGACTGTAGCCTCGCATAAATTACAACCCAAAAGATAAAAATACGAAAAGTACGGGGGGATTTAGAAATTACAACTGGGACATGGGAAAACGACATAAATGTTATACAACCTAATGGGCAATGGACAGGTGCAGCTAAATGAAATCAAAATGTCAGCCGTATTAAAAGAAACGTGTGAAGTTAACTAAAAAAATATTTAAACCGTTGTCGATATGAACTTGGAAAAATAAATTTTTTATAACTTTCTTTTTAAAAAAAAAATTAATTTAGAAAAAGGGTTTTAGTTTTGACTTTAAAATGGATTCATTTTAGGTTAGTGAAATGTGAATTTTAATCTACTTACAATATTTTCAAATTAAATATTAAAAATATTTTAACCAAATTGTTTTAACAATTGCTTTAAAATTGTCTTAAATTCAAATATATAAAAAAATGGTTTTAATTCTTATTCAGAAAAGGTTTTAAAATAAAAAAATAAATTGTTTGAATTATAAGAAAATGCTTTAATTTTAAGATATGTTTATGTTATATCACCTTAATTAACTATGTAAAAAAAGGGTTTTGTTACAATTTTAATTACATGCGATATTATTACATAATAATAATAAATGATAAAAACAATAAAATAAAATAATAAATAAAGAAAAAAAAGAAAAAGAAAAAGAACTAATAAGAGGGGAGGGGGCTGAAAGGTTGCTGTTGTGTTGTTTCATTAGGGTTTGAGAAAACCCCTTTTCCTCTTCTTCTCCTCCAAACGGCGGTGGCGCCATTGTTGGCTTGCGAAGCTTCTTCTCTTCTCCTTGCATGTGCTCGTTATCCATTCACACCTGAAACAACACAAACGAAAATGAACCGTTAACATCACAAGCTTACGTTTTGGCTCTTTGACAGCGGTATCGTGGGTGTGCTTGGCCGTGATTTTTGATTCAGAGCTTGAGGTTTCACTTTGCTCGGCCGATGACGGAAAGCGGAGGTTAGTTTGAAGTTGCCCGTCGTTCTCTTTGACGAACGGCGACGACGACTTCGCTTGCGGATGGTGCTGATGATGAAGCTTTCCTCTTCTTCTTTTTTTGATCCGCGGACGGTGATTATGATGAAGCTTTAAGCTTCTCTGAACCTTTGCTTGGTTGTTGTCCGCCGGTGGTAGTGAGACTCTGGAGGGTCTACGACCGCCGTTGGATGACCCTTGTTGATTTTCTGATGTTGGTAAAGTTTTTTTTCTTCTGATGAACGGCCCCCTCTTCTTTGATCCACCCTTTTCTTTTATATTTTTCTGGTGACTTTATGGGCTTGGATCCCTTGCATGGTTCTTATGATTTTTCAGGCGGTTTGTGGCTGATTTCCAGGATTCGTTTAATTTATGGTTACGAATCTTATGCTTTTGTTGTTTGGATTTTTTTTCAAGATTTTTCTGTCTGATTGGTTATTGAGACGGAGAAACTTACGGGTTTGGTTGTTTCTAAGTTTCCTGATGAATTTGTTGCGTGAATATCACAGAGATTTTTGCGGCTGAGGATCCGTTGTGAGATTTGCGATTTTCATGATGCTTTGGCCTTAGCTTTCGGTGATTCGTTGCTGGAACTTGCTTGTTTGACTTGTTGGCTATGAGTTTGTTGCGAAAATGTTACCGTTGCCCTGTTTGATCCGTTGGGTTTTGGAAGTTCTGGAAAGTTATGTTAGGGCCTTGTTTGGCAAAACCAACTTTTTGGAAAAATCATTTTTTTTGCAAACCTGCTTTTTCCCAAAAGTGCTTATTCTCAAAATCACTTTTCAGATAATCACTTTTTTCTCTAATAATCACTTTTTCTCTCTGGATGCCTCGAAAATAAGAACAGAAGCTATCAGTTTTAGCCCGATGGCGGAATTGAGTCGGGAGCTGGCGACGGAGCAATCTGTTACTCTCCCGACATACCCAATGATGAATATTTTCTAAGGGTATCAGATCGAAACAAACTTTAACTCTTAAAAATGCGTATTCTATCCAATTCATCCGATTAAATCTCGTCTCCGATAAAATTTTCAAATAATCCATCCAGTAACTTAAACGAATAACCTTCTCAGAGTAAATCCAAGCTGTTCGATTAAACTCAAATGACCACACTCTTCCGACTAACTTCACCCCCAATAAATTGAGTTGATTTAATTCATCCAACTCAAATCCTCCACGATTAAACTCTTCCAATTAACACCCTCGGCCTCATAAATTATCAGCAGGCTACAACTAAATCACCATTTTTCCCTTCACCAATTAAACTGTGCACAGTGTGATTTTTCCTACAAAACCAACAGACTGAGCAAACTGGTTATTGTTAGTTACAACTCAATGCAACATGAGATGAAATATCAAATGAATCGACCAATCTAAGGGTCAAAATTTGGGGTATTACACTGGTCAGTATGCAAAGCAATGTTAGACCAAAAAAGCTCTCAATAAGATCGAGGATGAACAATTACGCTCTCAACTTGAGAAAGTTGTTTACTCAAGTCTGACTCAGAAACTAATTCTTCTAATGAAGATATTAACATGATCTATGAATCATCATCAGATTAGTCCTATGATAATTCTGACAATAATAATTATCAATGTAATCAAGTTGATTACTGGAAGTCTATTGTCGACATGAATGGTCTTAATGTTCTTACTACAGAACAAGATGAAGCCATAAAGGCTATTGAGTCTATTTCTGATAATAACCTTAAAATAAAAATGCTTGAAGTTTTAATTAAAGAAATTTCTAAAAAAGAATCTCCTATTATTAATGAAGCACCCTACCAATTAAGTGAGGTTTTATCCAGATTTCGACAATCCAATATTTGTGAAACTCTTATTTCCCTTACTGATTTAAATAGAGAAATTAATCTTTTGAAATCTAAAATTACTCAGATAAATAAAGATAATAAAAAATTATCTCAAAGGGTCTCCTTGCTTGAAACAGGTAACCTTAAAGTTGAAGAAATATCCTCTACTAGCAGTCTTTCTACTAATGATAGATTTCTCACTCTTATTGATAGAGTAATTTCTCAATTCAATTTAATTTGTTCTCTTATCTCATTTTTATTAAATTGTTCATTAATATTTAATAAACTAACTTCCTCTTTAAGAAAACCTAATTGTTTTTCTTTATTTAAGAGAATACTTTTAACTTCATTAAGCATTTTAATATGAGGATCAGTAATAAATTCAAAAGTGACAGTTTTACCATTAATCATGGTAGTAATGCCTTTAGTGTCAACATTAATTAATGGCATAATGCTATTTAAAAAAGGAGTTCCAAGAATAACTCTACGAGTCATGTTTTTAACTAAGTTGAAATGGGTAAACAAATATCTTGATTACAAACGTATGTATTAGGTAATTTATAATTAAACGTTAATTTGTCACCACTAGCCTGAGCAAGGATTTGAGTGGTTTTTGTATAATACGTGGTAGGAACAATTCCTTCCTGTAGACAATTAAGGTCAGCACCACTATCAATAAGGGTGACTTCATTTTCTAAAATAAACGTTCTGTTAATAACTAAAGTTATTTTAACAAACCATTTTTGAGAAATTACTATATCAATAAGAGTGAGAAATTTATCATTAGTAGAAAGACTGCTAGTAGAGGATATTTCTTCAACTTTAAGGTTACCTGTTTCAAGCAAGGAGACCCTTTGAGATAATTTTTGATTATCTTTCTTTATGTGAGTAATTTTAGATTTCAAAAGATTAATTTTTCTATTTAAATCAGTAAGGGAAATAGGAGTTTCACAAATATTGGATTGTTGAAATCTGGATAAAACCTCACTTAATTGGTAGGGTGCTTCATTAATAATAGGAGATTTTTTTTTAGAAATTTCTTTAATTAAAACTTCAAGCATTTTTCTTTTCAGGTTATTATCAGAAATAGACTCAATAGCCTTTATGGCTTCATCTTGTTCTGTAGTAAGAACATTAAGACCATTCATGTCAACAATAGACTTCCAGTAGTCAATTTTATTATGTTGACAATTATTATTGTCAGGATTATCAGATGAATAATCTGATGATGATTCATAGATCATGTCAATATCTTCATTAGAAGAATTAGTTTCTGAGTCAGACTTGAGTAAATAAACTTTCTCAAGTTGAGAGCGAAATTGTTCATCCTTGATCTCATTGAGAGCTTTCTTGGTCCAACAATTGTTTGCATAGTGACTAGCTTTACCACATTTGTGGCAAGATACATCAAGTATTTTAGCTTTTCTTTTTCCTTTATGAATAAATGTCTTTTCTTTTGGTCTACTTTTATTAAAGTGGCTTCTTTTCTTATTCTTCTTACAAGAATTTGTATAACTATATTTATTTCTATGAGGTTTATTTCTGAAATTGTTTCCCTTTTTCTTTTTATTCTCAGAGGATCTACCAAGATCGAAGGCGAACTGATCGCAGAATTCACCCATTTGGTGTTTTTCAGAATGTTTTTGTTTCTTAAGATGATTTTTAAGCTTAATATCATTACATAAAGTTAATCCTTCATTAACACAAGTGATTATAATTTGACCATAGGTAAGATCAGGATAGTTAATATTTATCCCATCTTTTTTACTTCTTGAAGAATGTCTAACCTTTTCAGAAAAGAAATGGGGTAAACCATCAATAAATTTTGCTTTCCAATGGATATAATTTGGGTTTTTTAATTGATAAATTCTAGACAAAAATGTGTCTTTGTACCATCTAAAATGTGTAAGGGAAGGACATCTTAGATTTTGGAGTAGAGTTTGAATTTTTTCTCCAATAGGGATATTGGTTTCAACAAAATGCTGAAGGATGGATAGACACAGTGTATAAACCGCATCTTCTTCGCCTGTGGTGGCAACACCACTTGCTTCGATTACAAGAGCTTCAGACTTAATCATTTTCTTACTGACAAGAATATCCTTTTTCTGACTATCGGTGAGATAATGATCCCACCAGCCTCTTAATTGACCAACAAATCCAGTGGATATGAAGGTGGCAATATCTCTGTCGGAATTTCTGTTTTGTTTACAAACAGTGGAATACATAATCATTATATGTATTGTATCAAGGATTTGTTTGTCATTTAACCCATCAATGTTCCATTCATAAATGGCTTTTCCAGAATACTAATTTTGGAAGGGTTCGGGTTCTTCAAAAAGTAAATCTCGAGGAGAGGGACACTTATAATAGTATTTCTCTAAAGGTTTAGAGGTATAAACAGGGTTTATCTCATTATTATTTTGATTACTTATGTCTAAGTCAGGAAACATATTTGCTAAACCATTAATTTCTTCTTCATTAGAAGAGTCTTGATTAGACATCACCGTTAAATGTAAATCTTTAAGCTTTTAATCAAGAAAACGGACAAACTCATCACCGTTAGTTTCCATTTTAATTCCTTCTATAGGAATAGGAGGTTGAATTATAGGAACATCTAAAATATTACATATAGAAGCTTGTTCTTGAGGTTTAGGCTTATTAATAAGCTCAATGATAATCTTTTGACGGACTATTTGTTTGTCTAAAAGGTCCTTTATGGATAAGAGTTCCTTTTCTAGAGAAATAAGTTGTTCTCCTAGGCAAACAAGGTAGCCATTAGTATAATTATTGGATTTAGTTATGGAATTTAACTCTTTAAGAGTCATCTAATTTTGTTCAACCCTTTGAAGGGTAAGATAAGGTGTAGCCTCTGTATGAGGACCCAAACTTATTGTTTGCTCAGGGGGGAAAAGGAGATTCCATTCTTTCTCTTTTGACATTTTCCCAAGGTTTTTGTAGAACTAACAATTCGTTTTGTTTTATAAAAACCAATTCTCCTTTATGTTTACTAATAAAGTAACTAATGAACCATTTGACGAAGGGAATGAAATCTTGGTTCATAGACATCTGAGTATAGTACTCATCTTTAAAACTTGCTAATACAGGGGCAGGTTTTACAAAACTTGCTAAAACTTGCTAAAACTTGAGTGTATCTTTCATGCTGAAACTCGTCATTGACAAGGTTTCTTAGATTACTACCTGGGGAATAATCTAACATTATAACGGGAAATCCATGTCTGAGGGAGTAGGCGATTCTACTCTAGGAGGATTTGGTTTTTGATATATTCCATGGGGAATTTTATTTTCGCTAAGTCTTATATTTTCGACTACCTCTATTTCTTCTCTTAATTGAGAAGTAGAAGATCTAGGTAATTGACTAGGAGCAGAGTAAAACTCATTTATAGAATTCACTGAATGTCTTCCATACATAGATCTAGGTATTCTATTAATTCTTTTAGAGTTAAAGTTTATTTCTGAATCTCCTTCACTAGACTGGATTATTTGATCAACATCCTTATTAAGGATAGGTTCAGGTTCTATGGCCTGAGGAAGGTTCCAGGTTTCAGGAAAATTAATTTCATCTCATTTTAGCAACCTATTAGTTGCAATACTAGATGTGAGCAAATTAGTTTGAACTAAAGTAGTAGTTCCTGGAAATGATATTTGTTTAGCTTTAGGGTTTAAAGTGGTAAGAACTTTGTAATAAACCCTATAACATATAGCCATTATTTCACTACCCTGTTTAAAATTGTAACCATTGGTATGAATAGTTAATTGAAGGGCATCTAATATTTTTTTATCAGTCATGGATAAGCTTATATTGGGAGAGACATCAAAATAAATTGGTCCATGACAGAGACTTGTCTCAATTAAAGCAGCTAAAGATTGTTTAAAATCTTTACATCTAGCATCTCTAATATATCCCAGGATGCTAGTATTAAATCCTAGCAAAGTCAAAGGTTTAACAACAACTTGTATTAAACCAACATGGATATAATTATAATTTTTAAAAGGAAGTAAATCCTTTTTTGTTAAGAGTTTAATTGTCTGAGTACTTTCAGAAATTTGAATAGTTTGTTCTAAGCTTTTTACAGCAAAGCGAGATAATAAATCTATTTTACCAAATTTATAAATTTGATTTGAAGGTACTGATGGAATTGTTCATTTATTAAGTTTATCCAATTTTTTTGGATATTCCATAAGTTCTTCATGTTTAATCAAATTATTTTGATGATTATCATCATCAAAATCCTTAAATATGGCAGGCTAAAGATGTTGTGGATGATTAGCTACCTTAGGTAAAACTAAGTAGGTAAATTTAACTCATAATCTTAGTATAAATATATATAGGCAACAATTGATAAGTCATCTTTGCAAACAAAAACGTTGTTTAACTATCAACCCTAAGGGATAGAAGGGTGTCTCCTAAATCAAAGATGTCCAATATTTTTTAGTAAAAATTTTCTTTTCAAAATCATCTTAACACTCCCTTCACTGGGAAAAAACGATGATTTTAAGAAAACACTAAAAAACATCACTAGTTTTGAATAAACCCTTATTACTTGTTGCCATGATATAAATATATTAATTTTAAGAGAGGAACCTACATAGTTAGTTTCGTCTAAGTTATCTTACCTTCCACAACAAAAAAATTTAGCCACTAATTGTCATTGACAAATAGTTGGATTAAGAAAAATACCTCAGTTTTGTTACCAAGCTTTGATACTAGTAAGTACAACGGAATCAGTATCGGAATTATATAAAACTTTGTTCTTTTGAAATAGTAAGTACAGCAGAATAAGTATCGGAATTATATAAAACTTTGTTCTATTGAAATTTCGTGCTTACAAAAGAAAATAAAACCCCCTTATATAGGGATAGAAATGCTTACTATTTAAGCCGGTAAATGCTACTTGTGATAGCCGGCTACAACAAACAAATATGAATTATTAATGTCGGGTACACATTGGGCCCCATCGACACAAAAATAATTCTCAAACAACAAAACTTTCTTACACAATAAATTAAAAGCAGGATTCCCTCTTTTTCCAAGATAAGATTCTTATCTTTTTATTTGCTAACTTTTAAAATAAGATTCCTACTTATCTTTGCATGCATTTGCCTTTAGGAAATTATTGCATTGTTCCTAGACAAAATAAGATTCTCTCTTGTCTTTTCTCTTTGTCTTGGGATTCTTTATCTCTTTGAGTTGTCTTTTGCTTTCTGAGTCATCACTATGGAAAATAAGACCTTTAGCAACGTTTTTTTGCCCTTTAGCAGCGCTTAAAAGCGTTTCCTAAAGTGGCGCTGCTAAAGGTAAAGGCAGCGCTTTTTTATGGAAAAAGCGCTGCTATAGGCCCTCTTTGGCAGCGCTTTTTCCCCCCTTTAGCAGTGCTTTTCAGAAGAGCTTCCTATTCCCCAAACCCCCCCTTTAGCAGCGCTTTTCAAAAGCGCAGCCTATTCCCCCCCCCCCCCCCCTTTAGCAGGGCTTTTTAGTAAAAGCGTTGTCTATTACTATCCAATTTTCATTTCTATTCAGATTTGAACCTCGAAGAACGTCCTTGTGCATTTCAACATACGGCTCAACCTCAATGTCATTGTGCAGAATATACAAATGCACTTGCTCCCGTTCATCCCTTGAAACTGTCTCAACTTTATTTCCAATTGACTGTTTTCCTACTATTTTTTCAACAACATGAGATTTTGGGAGGCCAATAGATTGAACATTGGACAAATATTAAGTATAAAACTCAATCGCTTCTTCAACAATGTATCGTTCAACAATACAACCCTCTAGTCGACTTCGGTTTTTCACATACCCTTTCAATATTTTCATATAACATTCAACAGGGTACATCCATCTCATATAAGCTAGTCCACACAGTTGTGTCTCTTTTACAAGATGAACAAGTATATGTACTATTATGTCAAAAAAGGATGGAGGAAAATACATTTCAAGCTCACACAAAGTAATAACTATTTCTTTTTGCAATGTTGGTAAGATCGCAAGATCGATCACCTTACTACAAGTTGACCTGAAGAAAAAACACAATTTAGTTATTGCGCTTCTCACTTTTTCTGGCAAAATAGAAGTATACGTATTGGTAGAAAGTGTTCCATTATAACATGGCAATCATGTGTCTTTAAACTCTTTAACTTGAGGTCTTTCATAGAAACAAGTCTTCTAATATCTGAAGAGTATCCTTCTGGAACTTTAACTTCACTCAGAAACTTACACAATATCTTTTTCTCCTTTCTAGATAAAGTATAAGCAGCAGGTGGTAGATATGTTCGATTTCTTTCTTCAAGGGTCCTAATTCATTTCTTATTCCCATTGCTACCAAGTCCTTTCTTGCTTTAAGGCCATCCTTAGACTTTCCTTGTATATTGAGTAACGTACCAATAACACTTTCAAATACATTTTTTTCAATATGCAAAACATCAAGAAAATGTCTTACATATAACAAATTCCAATACGGCAACTCAAACAAAATTGACCTCTTCTTCCACCCACGCGTGACAATCGTATGAGAAAAAGGCTTGCCAAACTTAGTACTCACATCTTTCACCTTTTCAAAAATGGGTTCGCCGGTCAATGTAGGTGGAGCTCTACGTTGTTCTAAATTTCCATTGAATGCTTTTTTCCACCCACAGTAGTGATGATTAGAATTTAAGAATATACGATGACCAAGAAAGACATTCTTCTAACCAAATTCCAATCGCGTCCAATCTGTGTTTTCTTCATAGATAGGACACGCACATTGACCTTTAATGCTATACCCCAATAGATTTCTGTATGCTAGAAAATCATTAATTATGCCAAACAACATCGCCCTCAAATTGAAACTTTCTTTCCTATATCCAATCATAAACCTCCACACCGTTCTCCCACAAACTCTTTAAGTCTTCGATTAAAGGTGTCAAGTATATGTCTATGTCATTCCCTGGTTGTTTATGGCCAGAAGTTAACATAGATGACATCATGTACTTACGCTTCATACATAGCCATGGAGGTAGGTTATAAATCATAATAATTACAGGCCATGTGGAATGTGAGATACTTTGTAGACCATGCGGATTCATTCCATCAGTCGATAATGCCAAGCGAAGGTTTCTAGCTTTTTCTCCAAAATCAGGATACTCATTATCAATTTTCATCCACTGTGGTGAATCTGCCGGATGTCGATACTTCCCATCTATAATTCTATCATCTGCATGCCAAGTC